TGTTTATGTTATTGTATTTTGCACAACTCTGTTGCTTGTGAAGCTCGCACACAAGAATTTCACTCGCATGTGCTGTACCAATGTACCTGCACATGTGATGTGACAATACAAGTGATTTGATTTGATTTGATAATCCTGAAAATGTGTGCAGATTTTGAAAGTTATATAAACAGTCAGTGTTTTATCATGAACATGGATCAGTTTAAGTTAAAAAAAAAAGAAAAGAAAAAAAGAAAACCTTTAAAAGATTATTGTTAATGCTGACAGTATAAGTTCACAGAAATTGGAATACACCAAAATCATTTTTATGTGTATATTAGGGCTGCAACTAAAGATCAGTTTAGTCGTCGACTTATCTGCCAATTTTTCTTTGATTAGTCAAGGATTATCTCAGTAACTCTTATCTTCGCTTCCTGTGGGCAAACCTCTTCGAGGCTCCAGTACCTCACCTGCTCACGTCTGCCCACCTGTGAATATCACCCTGTTGACTAGCGATTTTGCGAGCCCTGCGGTAAACTGAACAAAACAGAATTAGCAAAGACTGGTACTTATGTTACTATGTTACTTATGTATAATCATACTTTCTCAGACGGTGTAGTGTTCAGTGCCAATTAAACAGTTCAATTGATGGTCAAACCCACAAATTAACTACCTAACATTAGGTGGAAAAGGTTTACTATTCAGACTATTTAGCCATGGCTACCTGAGGATTTTGCTTTTCATGATCTGATTTATTCAGGTGTCTTGAGACGAGCCCCCCTGTGGGTTGTTTTGTGACTTAGTTATGTATAGTTTCTTTTACCATCTGATTGGTGAGTGCTGCACCATTGTTTGTCTTTCTATAAGGTCCTCCCAGCATTACAAAGGAAGTCTAGATGATCTTCATTGTCAAACTGAAGTTCATCATTCTCAATTCCAATTAATCAGTTTGGTTGTGTGCTCAAGTCTATGAAGACTCTGCTTACAAATATCTTCCCTGTGAGAATGATGGAGGCATGATCTGGAAACTTATAATGGTGCTGACATTGTATCATTCCTCAAATTAGTCTTTGGAAACAGTCCTGTTTCACAGGTCTGCGTAAATATTTCAAGGCTGGGTCATGGCTTAGTTTTCACTATGACTTACTTTATCAGCTTTGAGACCTTATAGGCAAACAGTGTCCTTCCCAGATTATTCAGTGAATTGAATTAGGGGCACATGAGGTCTTAACAAGTTGAAGCACATCTTCAGGGCGATCTTAGGATACACATAAGCTCAAGTGTGAATACCTACTTAAATGGGATATTTCTGTGCAAGGACATCATTTTTGCATTGTCACTGTGGATGAAGTATTGTGTGTAGATTGAGGGGGGTCCTTTTTAGTAGAGAGAAGATGTAGTCATCCATAAAGCAGATTCTTATTGCCCTGTTCTAAGAACTGCATGACAGTCCACCAACACTGGCAGACATGAGGTTAGAGCCAGGATGCACAAGCTCTAATGCCATTTTAAGTTTCCACTGACTGTTCCAGGTTCACAGTAAAATCAAATTTGATGCAAATTGGTTCATTTTTTGTTTTTTTTCATCAAATTTCAGGTGGAGAAGGAGCGAAGAAAAGAGGGTCTTCCACTCGAGGGCAGGTAAGCTTATCAGCTAAAACTGAATACCTAGGTAGAGACTTGCCAACAAGACGCATGATGACCAACAAATAACAAACCTACATAGAGATCTTGTCATACATAAGGGTTTCTTTAGCAGAGTGCAAATTTAAATTCTACTGTACGCTCTATATTTAAAGATGTTGCGTCAAGGGATTTGTGTAATATGCAGCATTAAACTGTAGCTGCTGGGTGACGTGTTTTTTCTCTTCACACAGACAAATGATGCAGTGTGGTTTCAGTGTAACTAGCTTAAAGTCTTTGCCTGCATGCAGGCTGTGTTGTTTATTTTGGTGAGTGAGGGGGTGTGATGGAGAGAGTTTGGGGGCGTGCGTTACAGAGGCACAGAACCAAATTCCTGCCTAATTTTAGAACTCCTTGAAAGAAAAAGGAGGGGAGCTCTGTCTTTCCCATCTGTTTCTGTTCCTGCTTAAAACTGGTTGGAAAAATAGACGTTTTCTTCAGAATCTCAACAGCTCATAGTGTTGCTCACTATCAGGCTAGTGGTGTTGATGGCTGCTCAGAAACGGAGCAATCTTGAGGCATGTTCAATTGCACTTGTAAATATGTTCTTGCCTTAGCCTTCTTGGTTATCTTTCCAAAATAATTGTTGAGCAGAATAAATGTCAGTAAAATCTCTAGTGCCTATGCTGGTTCAATACAATCTCTGAGTCTGTACTGATTATCTTTAAGGCAGTGTTTCCTGCCTTAAAGATAAGATTTTTTTGATAACTGTTCCATTATTTGTTCTGCTTATCAGTGTGTTCCTAACCCAGTCTCATGATCCCTGATTTCTTGAATTATCTGCGTGCTTTGAAAAAGGCGTACATGTTTTCTCTGTCACGGTCTCTGAATGGGTTTTGTTTGCTGGGAGCAGACGGTCTAGTCAAACTCACTGTGGATGGTGAGCTCATTGTAGCAGTTTAGTTTGAATGAATCAAATGAGAAAGTAATTTCTGTTTTTCTCTCAAAAAAAAGAAACCTTCTAAGGCTGCTTTGTGGAGCTAATGCGTTTATGACAGCATATCTGGCCTCTGTCCTGCACATTCTTTGGTTTGCACTCATGCAAAGAGAGTCAGATACATGGCAGTCCAATGTTCCCAGAAAGGTGTTTTCTTCCTGTCTTTACTCAAAGTGATTATTTTACTGGCACAACTAGAAGCATTTTTCGTTTTCTTGGAACCTAAAGCAAGGTCCCTGATATGAGTTTGGGAGTAAGGAGGAAAAAATGGATTGAAGGAAGGGTTTGCAAAGAAAGAAAAGATACATGCATGCTGCATATGATTGGATATCAATAGAACACAAATTTAAAAGATACTAGTGCTACTTTGGTCATATAAACATAGTCTTCCTGTTTCGGAATGACAGATTGCTTCTAAATGGGAATCATCATATTTATTTGAAAGATCCAAAAAGGAAAACCAGGAGAAATGTTTGTGGAATATGCAAGGTACTTGATCAAATCGTTTGTAATTGGTTGTCAGGTTGAAGAAATTCTCAATTCTTTGTACCATTTTAATATTGGGTTGATTTTGATGCTACCTTACCACAGAGACATTTCAGTGCACTCGTCAGCATCAGCATGCAGTAGTTTAGTAAATTCATTTAATATTTGCAATAGAAAGTGTCTGAATAGACCACATATGGAGTTTAGCAGGCAACTTAATTAATTTAGTAATATCAAAATAAATGTATTTTTATATCATGCAGTCAGTGTTGATTATTAAAAAACATTATCACTAAAACCTTTTGTTAAAATAAATAGCTTTTAGCCAATGCCAGCTTTCATAAACGTGAAAGACTAAATCTGTAGCTGTTTTACATTGACAAGCATCTCGAGGTTAATGTGATTTGCATGTAGACAGCAGTTGGTGAACAGTGTGGGAATATGACTATTTTTAAATCTTGAGAGGTGAGAAGCAAAAGAGGCTTTGCAGTTCTGGTTGACCTCAAGACCTCCTGAGCCGTGAGGCCTCTCGTGCCTGGGTTATCAGGCACTTGCCAGGCCTGCCGTCACCCTCTCCCAGCCTAAAGAGCAAAGCAGGCAGCATATGCAGAGGTTAATGATATCTCTGTCTGTGCTCTTGTGCGTCAAAATATCTTAGTCCTACATCCTTCTCTTTTTAGGCCTTTTTACTTTATTCTCCACCAGGATCATTTATGATAATGCTTTATCGAGGTATACTGTTAATACTGTGGCATGTGGATTTAACGTCATTGTCAGTTCACACGTCTGTGAATAAAGTTGATCTAAACCCTTGTCTAGTCCTAACCCTTTCCCTGGAGCGTGGCTCAGGTCACTGATAACACTGACTTTGAGTTATATCCAAGAGCTCAAATAGCACCAAACATAACTTGTTATTTTTGTACTGTGGCAGTGGACAGAACCCTGAGACTACAGCTCTGTGGTGTGCTTGTTAAGAGGCTGGGTTTTTCTTCATGGGCAGCTGCTTTTGAATTTACAGCAAATTCCAAGTTCCTAATGCACATGACAAGGTAAAAGCCCCCAGCTAACCTTTGAAGATCTGAACGAAGCCTGACACTACTCACCACTACAGAGAGAGGAGTGTGTTTCACTTTGCGTTTTAACATTTGTTCAGAATTTTTGCAGAAGTTAACATTGTTCTGCAGGTGGTCTTGTATTCCGAGTCAGTAGAGAAGTGTGCTTTTAATTATATGAATAGCTATGTGGTGAAACTGTTGAGCTTGAAACAACAATGCTAGCCATGGCACGGGACTCCTCTGTACAAGCACACAACCTCATTTCCCTTTCACATTTGACCCCTCATACAATCACCCACACACAGTTTTTCCACTCTAAGACTGAAATGATGCTGTTTAACGGGCTAGAAATTAATAAACAATTATAGCTATACTGAACGTGAGAGGGAAGCCCTTATTATGTAATGCAATAGGCACTGTTCCTCTGAACAAGCCACAGCCAGTTCATCTGTGTTTGTTTGTTTTTTTTATTATATTTGTGCCTTCATTCTTTCTTTAACTCAGTATTTACTTGACATCCATTTGCACGTGTTTCTCTGTGAAACGTTTTCAGAAGTGTCACTGTATTGCTACACCACCTTCAAGAGAAGGTGTAGCATCTGAATTCTGCAGTTATCACAATTACTGTGCTCTGCTGATATGTTGATAATCATAAAGAGCTAATTTTATGGGGTCTGAATGTGGTTTTTAAGAGGACTGGACCAGCAGAACCAATAATTTTATTTTCCCTCCCGTTTACTTGTTTAATACTTTGCCTTTTATATTTATATTTGTGACCTTTTGCAAACTCCAACACCCGTTATGAATACTGGGCGTTGTTTAGTCTGAAATAAACTGTTGTTGTTTACATATCCTTCTCTTTGCACCTACTGATTGGCCAGAGGGTAGAGTAGACAAGATAAACAGTTCCTTAAGAGCAGATTTGTTATTTCACCTGTTTCTCTTCAGCTACCTGTGTATAAAAGTGTAGTGGACCTGAGTGTAAAATCAATCATGGCTTTTTTCAACAACATAGCATGTTAAGTTTGTAATTTTTCCACTCAGCAGTAAACACTGTTCACCAAACACCAAAACCAAAGGTACAGACCTTCCTGTAAACCGTGGCCATCTTCAGTGTGTGATCATTTTTGCACAGGGTCCTCTTGCTTTGACTGTGCGCCAATTGTTCTGAACTTTGCTTATGTTAAAACGTATTCCCCAAGTCCAAAATTAGTAACCCCAAAATTAGTAACCCCCAAAATCCCAAATCCCATGATTTCCGGGAGAGAGAAATGCCTTGTGGATATCTTGGTGTCCCAGTAGACCTGTTACTTCATCATCATTTTTTTCTTTAAAAAAATAGCTTTAAGAGTTATTAATCTGTTCACCTTTAAAAAGAGCAGTCAAGGACAAACAAAAATTACGCTAACACTGAGTCAGATCTGTGAGAAGAGGCTTGACATCAGAAAAAGAGCAGATCCAGACTCAGTCAAAGTACTTGTTACTTTTAAAGAGAAAATAAACGCGTGCCTTAAAAATTCTTTGTTATCCTTGTGGTGTTTTTAGTGACGGCCCATTTTCTGACATCAGATACACAACACAGCTCTGCGCTGCTTACAAAGTGGTTTTCATTTGGTCTGTTGTGTATTAGCACATATGTTGCCCTTATATAGAAGTGAGCGTCTTCCACCTCTAGCTGTGTCGTGAGACTTAGAATGTGGCCACACCAGCAGCTCAGTCACTTCCTCTCCTGCACCCATGCTTGCGTGCTGTGATAGCAGACCCCATAATACTATAAGCAGTTGTGGTAGATGGCCATCGGTGACTGATATGAGGAACTGGTGCTAACATAACTAGCAGTTTGTGAGATATTCTCTCTAGCTACAATGGCCAGCAGAAGATGCCACCCCTTGTGTATCTCTAACAAAATCTAGCTTGCCCAGTTGGTGTGTGTGCGTATAAGGAAGTATCGCTGAAGGACAGTAGTTGCTGTATGAATTGACCATTTTCAGTATTACTCTCCTGCATTGTTTACTGTACGTACACTTGGCAGTAGGGCTGAACGATATATCGCATTTGCGATAATATCGCGACATGATCAAGTGCAATTTTCTAACCGCAAAGGCTGCGATTATACTCTGGACATGTCCAAATTCATGGGCTGCATCCTCCTGAGGCCGCATTTGTAGACCGATTACGTCACAGCGACGCGCCGAAGGCTGTCCAAATTACTACCATATCCCAGAATTCATAGCGCGGCCCAGCCAAACTCCAGTTTCCAGCAATGGCGGCCGCTACTAAGTTTTAAAATTACTCATACTAATCTTTCTGGGTCACAAAATAAACTTTTAACATATTTTCAGGCGAGAAAGTAGTTGTGTAAACATCAAATATCTGCTCGGTTTATCAAGATATCCCATATTTGCAAAAGTGCTTCGACGTTTTCAGAGGCGTCTGCTACCCTCCGGCTAGCTCGACAGCTAGCCGAGAGCTCGAGGATTACTGATGCGGCCAAGAACGGCACAACTCCCGGCACATCATTTTCAGATCACCGCGGAGTTTCGCTGCTCGGGTTAAACGTAATATATAAGTCACTTAGACAACCTAAAAACGTTATTGTTGGGCTTTTTTCAGTGTTTTGTTTGTTCGTGAGTAAATCGGTTTGGCTGAGATTAAAGTTATTAGATTAGATAAAATAAAACTTTATTAATCCCCCGGGTGGGTTCCTCCTTGGTTTTCACACAGCTGACTAAACGTCAAACAGAAAACTTATTAAACAGAAGTATGAGACAGTCGAGAATTTACACCAGTGTCTGGTTATATTTTAGATAGCAAGAAGCAGACGGCCGAGTTTATTAAACTCCACCGAGACAGCGGTGACGCTAATCAGAACTAGACCGTCCAATTTCACGCCTTTAAATTTTAAAGGCGTGTTTGTGTGTGTGTTTATACAATTGCTATTATGTTTGCACTTTATGTGTAATGTTACTGACTGCAGAGATCAGTAAGATGTGTGCATTTTTTATTTATTAGTTTTATTTATTTAATATTATTTTTTAATTGAATGACTGTCTAGTAGTTCACAGATGTCGAAAAACTGAGTGTGGTAAAGCCACTGATTTTTTTTATGTATATTTCTGCAATCTGCACATTGTACTGACTTTCATTTTAATGTTTACACCAGGGTTCCTTGTCAGCACTTTAGGCTCAGATGTTTGTAAGCTAAAAATAAACTATTGTGTATGTTCAAATATACTGTTGTGATTGAAGAAGTTAAATAAAAATGTCAGTCATCAATTCATGCATCACCTCATGTCATCATAACAGAGGTCTGTCTTCCAGGAAAGAACAGTTTAAAATTAATGTAATATAGTATTGGCCATACTATATGATGTATTGCTTGTCTTTGTTTAATAATACAGAAGACAAAGACCTTAAAAAATAATCGCATATCGCATCGCAATTGCAATATTGGGGCAAAAAATCGCAATTAGATTATTTTCCATAATCGTTCAGCCCTACTTGGCAGTGTATTTTGTTGGTGTTACAGTCATTATTTGGGGCTATAAAAGATTTAGCTTCCATATATTTACTAATATAAGCTGGATGCTTTTTTCTTTTGACGAAATGACCCAGTCATTTAGTCTGGAGAGCAAACAATGCACAACAGAATGAAAACATGTTGCCTAGCTCAGGATAGAGCTACAGAAGTATAGTAAACTGAGGTAAATTAAAGATGTATATGATCTGAACTACGCTGTTTTGTTTTTCAGCATACAGCGGGATGTGCGATGTATCTTGTGGACATAAAATTCATTGCTCACAGGCACTGTTGCCATTATTTTGAGGGCGTTGGCTTTACTGATAAGATGGCTGTAAAATAGCAGTGTCACTCTCCCTTCCTTACTTTTTTGGTGTTTAACTTTGGTCCTTGTAGCAGAGCTTTAGAGTCGTGGTTTTTATGTGTATAAATACTTTGTTGTTCTGCTGTCAGCGATGAACTTTGTCTTCAGATATGATAACGTTCAGAGTTCAGCATGAGCCCAGGTTTTGGAAAAAACAGTTTGTGACCAAATGACAACAAAAAAAATGCTTGTTTCCCAAAACTCAGATGTAATAATTTGGTGGTACTCAAGCTCCGTACTGTCAATAAGAAAATAGTCAAAGATATTTATATTATGGGGTATAAATAAAAATAAAATGAATAATGTCCATGAGGACGAGTGCAATAAATGTCTTTGTTTACAAAAAGTATATCTGTATTTGCACTTTACAGAAGCAACAATGACTTCTGCATCTGCAGACGTATTTTTAGAAGTATTGATTGCTTACTCATCATATCTTTCACTTGTCACTAAATCTGACAAACACTCAGTTATTCATTTAAAATACAGTCTTTGTTTCTTTGATCTACAGTTTTTGAAGATCCTAAACAATTGTTTATGAGCTTTGCAACTTTTCTGTGTTCAGTCAAAATGCACAAATGGTAACAGTTTGTTTTTGCTTGTTTTTCTTTTGATCAACAGCTCCTCCCCGTATATGCAGGAGAATGGGAAGGCTTTGCATTTTCAGCCTCCAGTGTTAGAGTTTGGGACCCAGTAAGTGCTGCTCTCACTTTCTGCTTTAATATTTCTATCCAAGCATTGCTGTTGTTAATATTGTACTGAAGAGGATGACAGCTTTAACTATATAGTCAGCAGCATAAGACAAGGGGGGAAAAATGTGATTCGATTTTGCCATCTCAAATGAATGATGTGGAAAACCCAACTGAGTTATTTTAATGTAGAGCTAAAGCAAGCCAGTGGTGTCATCTGTCACTGTGATGAATACTATAGAAGGGAGCATTTCATAAACTGAGGGCCCTTCATTGTTAGAATAGCCAAGTATAGCAGTCAGTTTGGTTTTCCAGCATCCAGACACACTGCAGAGGGTTGAAGAACTTGTTTGCCTTGATACTCCCAAAACACACGGTCTATTAGGCACAATACTGTGGTTGCACGGCAGTCCCCATTGCTTCTGCTTAAAGGTAAACAGTCACAAGCAGCTTTTATTAGTTCATATTTTATATCATAGATTTGGAATGCAGAAGGCAAAAGATATCCCAGTATTAGGTACATATTTGGACACTAGAATGAAATTGCTTCTGGGAGTTACAATTAATTTTAAAATAGTACTATAAGACTCCCCATCCACTCACCATTTTGTGGTTTCCTTTTTATACATGAGTTGTGGGATAACGTTGTGGTTCTAACAGTAACACCGACTCAAATCGGTTGATATATGTGGCCAAAGAGAACAAAAATGAACTTGTTCATAAGAACAACAAAGTACATTTGAGCAGGGGAACTGCAAGTGATGCAAACCGCACCAAGCACTGTGTTTTATCTTAAGCATGCTGGAGCGCCTAGTTTGGCATTCCAAACAATATTATTAGAGCATGGCATTTTGATGCGGTTAAGAAGATCATGTTTGCCAATATCAAGAGTATTTTTGTGCCTCTTGGTGAAAATTTGGCATTACATGTAATCCATACATGTTTGATCAGGCTGATTGTTGGAAGAAAAAGTAGAAACGATTGAATTTGACCACAGTCTCGCTTGATTTAAATTCTGCTGTACATGCAGTTCATTTGCCTAAAATGAAAGTAAAGTCGCTCTGACTGACAAACAGGAAGCAAAAGATGCTTCAGTTGAGGCTTGTCTCAAATGAAGAGTCTGGTAATATGAAGAGTTTCATGATTTTCTGCTGCAAAGTGTCTTTTTTTTCTTCTTCCCCAGCCCGTTTTTAAAATTGTCTCAAATTATATACTGTAATGCCATATTGTGTAGTTCTTTATATAGATCTCTAAATGAAACCTTTTCATAATTGTTCAGAGCTGAGGTGCCTCTGTTTGTGTGCATTTCACTCAAGACAACTACAGGCGAGTAAAATAGCTTTTCTCTCTGCATTCATTTGTTGTGAGACAGGAGCATTCATACTCATGCATATACAGAAGAGAGCAGCAGACATGACGTGGATTATTTCAAACCCAGCATGGAAAGGAGGAGCTGGGTTGGAGGTGGAGTTCAAACGAGCTTGCAGAGGTGGCAGCAGCAGCTGTACAGAGGCTAAAGCGACTTAAATACCCCACTTATTCAATTTGCCATTCAGATGTGTAGACAAGTATGAGCTGAGTAACAGACTCGCATCTTACTCTTTTACTCAATTTAAAATAAGTCTTGTGTAGTAATTCACTTTATGTCAGTGCATAACTTGCACTTCTAATTTTAAATCAGTAAAAATAAGACTCCTGTGTTCCTGAGCTTCCCCCGCAGAGAAGGAAGAAGTCGTTGTATACTTTGTTCTACCTGCGATGTTGAGCAGAAGAGACACACAAGATGAAACGAGTGGCAAAATGTCAGTAAATCCTACTACACTGAGACTGCACTTTGCAAACAGCTTTAAAGGGATGGGTTCAAATGCACTTACCCGCACATGCAGCTGGTCCGGCTACCAAACATTTAATAGAAAGGCTCAGATTACAGTTCACAAAACGGGAGCGTGACTTTGTTCTCTGCTGAGAATGACTGTACGTCACTATATGTTGTCAGTGCAAATGGGTTATATTACAAACTGTTTAAGCTGCTCTTAACTTGATCTGTACATGCACAGCTGCACTGCTCTGATCAAATGGAAAGACTGTGGAGGAAAAACAAAAACAGTAGTACTTGGAGCAGAGTGGGGTCAAGTGCTGTTTGCTCAATGATTTCTGCTACCACATATCAAAGAATAAAACCGCTGTCAAGTGAAGTTAATGAAGGAAAGAGATGCACTGTGAAACTTTTTGTCCTTATCATATTATCACATTGTAATGTGTGTTAAACAAATGCTTGCTGGCCCAACAGGCTGAACATTATGTGAAACATGTTCTCAAAAGCCCCACCCCCCTTTTTTCTTTTTTAAATGAGAAAAAAAAAGTCATGTGAGTATTGATCTGCCTAGTATTGGGACCTAGCTCTCTTTACCTGTGAGACTGTCAGCTTTTAAGTTGTCCCACTTCAGTTATACACAGGTAAAATAACATTAACATCCTTCATGACAGAAGGTGTTATACAGATGTGTGTAACTCTGAAGGCCCCTCAAGTGCTTGTGCGAAGGGCAGGGTAGGAGGTATTCACCTAACACAAAACCCTAGGAAGCGTCATGTGACTGTAATAGATTAAAAGTGGCCAGACTGGGAGAGTTTGTTTGATATAACAGCCAGCTTTTCATAGCCTTCCTGATTTGCTTATTTGTGTATGTATGTGGTTTTAATTCTCACAGTGGCAGCTTGTTTGGATACAATAAAAGAGCTCATACATGTTACTCATCTTTTCCATGCAAATCGTTTGAGTTTCCTCTTACAGCTTCCCTGTATTGACAGAATGCAAAATGCTACTGATCTACTGCAGAGGATCAGAACTATGAGGCTTATCTAAATTATTATGGAAGAATTTGTAAACATAGACTTAACAGTGGACAAAGGATTAACTTTCATATAAGTGCAAAGGCTTGAGTGTGACCATCTTTGCTCAGCTCCACTGGTCTTGCTCAGCTTCATATTATAGCTTTAAACCTGTTATTATTTGGGATAGAGAAATGTGGTTTACATAATTAAACAGCATGTAAAGAATCTCCCAGGATACGCTTTCAAAACTATGCATTTTTAAATAAACGTTCATGCACACCCCACTTTCTCAGGGAGCAGCAGGGGGATCTAAGGTATGCAGGCATGTTTGAATATTCTTATAGATGTGTATGTAGTGAACTATAATGATGTGTACCTCCATTTATTCAGCTAGCCATGGCACTCCTGTAACTCACTGGGGAATCCTAACGTTCTCGTGTGTGTCTTTACAGGCCGCTGGGGCTGCCAAGAGCTGAAACCATATATATACACAACCCCAGTCAGGAAGTTCCTGTCACACTGCTGTCAATGTTTACATCCAGCAGGCATTTTTACATACCTTCCTTTCACAGAAGAGTAAGTCCATAGAAGATTCTTAACAACTAGTGATGCTTAGAAATAATTGCAATTGAAGTAAAATGTGTATCTTGTTCAAATAACTTATTGCTTTGTGTTTTCTCTGTACCCAGGTGATCCCTCCTAGGGGGAAGGCATCTTTTAAACTAATTTTCCTCCCGTCTGAGGAGGGCAATATAGAAAACACATTATTTATAAACACATCGGCCCATGGGCTGCTGTCATACCAGGTGAGTTGCAGACGTGTTTTTTTTACCCTCACTTCGAGTCTCCAGATAAGGGGATAAGCATTTGCTTACTGTTTGCATGCTATTGTTTTATCGCAGTATGTGTCCTTGTATGAGCTTACAAACAGTCTCGGTCATGTCAGCTTTTGTTATTCTCTAAGAAAGTGTTATCCAAAATAGAAGCTGACCAGACTGCTGGTTTCATGCTTGCTTCGTCCCACGTGCACACGCTCACATGCAAGTCAAAACGCTGATCTTTGTGCCATTAGAAAGTTGAGCATGCAAATGATGTTTAATTCAAAAATTGTTTGCAAAGCATGGCTGAGACTAAAGAAATAAAGAGAAATAATGCTGGTAGGAGAAAGCGTTTATTTATTCAGGGCTCTGCTGTTACCTCGAGGTAGAAAGCACGCTGTTTCATAAGTTGTTTTTTTTTGTTTGTGTATTTGAGGCTTTAATTATTTCACTGAAAAAGTTTTTGCATTTTACTGCAACTCTGCAAGCTCAAGTTAAAGTAGATCGCTACAGGGAGAAGAAAAATAAAGTCTGGTTGTGAGACCACTTTAGGGTTTATCTAACCTCAGCTTGCTTAAATACTGTAGCCTTTGGTTAGCTTTGTCAGAGATGTTTGCCTTTCAAGGCTCGGCTTAACTGAAAATTGTGTCACTTGCAATGCTTGCTGTATTTGAAGCAGGAGCAGTTAAGTTGTAAGTTGGATGTCAGACATAATTGGGCTCTACACTGAAACCAAAGCATGCAGAGACTGCCCACAGAAATCCAAAAGTCTCAAGTCTGTGTAATGACGGTTGTCATAGGCAAGTCTCGACACTCAACAGCCATCTTGGCAACTCCTCTGGCATTTATTTATTACCAACAAAACTCAGTTTCCTGGTTCGATTATTATTAAGGAGTGGCTTTGGGAGTAAGGGTGTTCACAGGCTGCTATTATTATCACAGCAGCAATATCAGAGTTTGACTTTATTTCAGGATATAATCAGGATCAAGCCATCACACCTGTGATTTTAAAAAAGATACCATAGAAACTTCTATGTGAAATTAAAGTTTGCAATCGGTACAGTGCCACAACAACGAAGTAAACATGAGCCAATAACAGGCCACTGTCTTTAATACAGTAATGTTTGCACTTGATAGTTTTGCATAATTTCCTTCATAGTTTAAACGTATAGTGGAGCTATATTCAACCAGTTTGCCTTTTATTGTTTTTGAGTTCTTCCATGTGCATTCAGACTGGAATAAATCATCCCAAACACTCGTATGTGTTGATGACACTTGTTTGTGTACTTGCTGACGATGTTTCTTAGTATAAATGTTAACTGCTTGTTTTTCAGGTATTTGGTGTGGGAGAAGACCAGGGATCGTTAAAATCTGTCCAAAGAAAGGATAGTGTGCTAATATTCCCTCACATCCAGAGCATTAAGCTGACCCAAACTCAGGTACTTTCTTGAATGTCTCTGTGTTTTTCTGTGGAGGACACACAGAGTATTGAATAAGAGCTCATCATTGGAAACAGCTGATTCTCCACTTTCCTGCCAACGCTGATAAACAAAATTGGCTGCAAAGATACAAACAGGAGCTTTGTTATGCACACTGGCATGAGCTAGGTCTTATTAAATTATGAATGTGTTTGGCGTCAGCACAAAACTTGATAGAAAAAAAAAGCTTCTTTTTTAAAATTTTTAATTAAAAATGTTAATGTTTGCTTCCAATGTAACAGACACTTGCTTTCAAATCAAATTAGCCACACAGAAGCATTCATTCGTACACGCTTCACAGCGACGCAAAACCGAAAACCAATGAACAACTTCTGTATAGTTTTTGAAACAAGCTGAGGCAGTGAAAGTGTGTGTCTGTCTTTGTCTGTGTGTAAGAGGCATCTGAAAGGCGTGTCCGCCTCCACAACAGGAAGTGGGGTGGCAGTTGCAAAATGTCAGCTGAGCGAAGTGCAGAGACTTGTGTTCACTCAGTCACACAAACGGCTGATTTTTTTTCTTTCTTTCTCTCCCCCACAGTGTTCATGTATATGTGTATTTCTTTTTCTTCTTATCGCACACAAATTGTAACATTTGCACCAACTTTACAATTTTTTTTGCAACATTTTTTTTCTTTGTGGTGTTATGCTTCATGATGTAGCCGATGTTTAAGTCTTTTTAGTGCCGTTTAGGTTCTTATTCCATGTTATGTGCATATGAGGTTGAAATAGTGTTTTTCACTCTGTCTTGCAACTTTGTAGTGACTTCCCCATCTGAGCTCATTCCCACTTTACACATAATTGCTTAAGCACTTCAGTGCCAGGACTTTCAGTTTTGTTCTGTTCTGTTGCTTGAAGTTCACCTCAGATCTGTAATTAGGTACATGCATGTATGCTTACTTTTACTTGATGTTCTTTTGTCACACCTTTCCCAAATCAGCAGCTCTCAAATCAGTGTAAACAAAGTGGATTGGTCATTGTTTGTTTATTTACCTTGAAAAAGTGTGGTCTTTATACACCAAATTGTTGCACTCTGATATATTAAAGTACAACTTCAAGAAAGCTGCTCTAAACTTTGTATCCTGTTGTGCACCTGTTGGGGTTACAGTACTGCAATGCAAATGCTTTTACAGCAAGTAAAAGAAAAAGGCTGTTTAACCTGTGACCATTGCTGTTGCTCTTGCAGGAAGATGCCTCCAACATCACTATACTGGGTCTACTCCTGGAGTGCAGCTTACCGAAGAGTTGGAACAGTCCACAGGTAATTTGTCTCCATCTGTTTCAGTAGTTGTCGAGCCTTTTCAGCTGACACGCTGCTCTGGAGAATCATGTTTTACAAGTACAGGGATTCGCGGGCCTGGATTTTAGACCTCTGAATTTAGAGGTTCTGGGAAGATCTTGGCACATTACTCCAGCTCAGAATGGTTTTAAACACACCTGAAAATTCAGCAGCTTCTCTCAAGCACTGTTGTTGATTTTAAAATCCTAGATATTCTTGATTTGCAGTTACTGCAAGCATTTGAAAATATCAAAAGAAAAGCACGATGCTATGAGAAGAAGCTTAGGGCAAACTTTGTGGAAATAAGGAGAAATAAATAGAAAGGCAGTTAGCCGCATACTTGGTTTTTTTACGATGTGTGATCTTGCACCATTTTTAGTTCACCCCTACTTAGCAAAATCGGAGCTGAGCTTCAGTCCTCTTGAGCAGAAGGCCTTCCAGTCTTAAACGTCCAACAGACAGCCGGGCTCGTCATCTGAGCGCCTTCTGTTTTCTACAGAAGCCCTGAGGAGAGGGAGATCTCTTGCCAGGCTTTTAATTGCTTTCTCAAGAGACCTTATAATCGAAGAAGTGCACATGAAGTGAGAGAAGACGGCTGCAGACACAGACAACTACGCTGTCATATTAATACAAACTGAAATCTTCCTCGTGTGCTGTGGCGTGAGTGCCCCGGCCGTAACTTTTGGCTCGTATCCAGGACCGACACCTGCTGCTCAGTTCTTTTTCAAGTCTACTTGAACAAAATGGGCTTTGGGTCGGAGTCGCGGCTGCGTACAGATCAAATGAGCCCAACAGAAGTTACCAGCAGTCTTGGTTTCTCGGGATTAGTTTTGCTTTTGCAGGTCTTGATCCCCCAGTGGCACCAAGCCATAGTATCTGTCTGCAGTTCCTCAAGTGGTGATTCACCCACTGAGACGATCCCTGGTTTGTAGTGAGATTTGCACTATCCCACTACTGATCTGTCAACTTTAAGAGGGTGTTAGTAACAGGGAGGGTGGTGGCAGTTAACAGACTGGCAAAAGTGGGCATCTAAGTCAGGGTATGTATTTAGTCTCTGTTCCCGCTTGTTGGATTTTGTTTTAAATTCTCAGATTACTCGTCATTGTTCATGTGCTCCTTATTTTGTCCTTGTGTTTGGTGCATGACTGTATGCTTTTCCTGTTCTGTCCCAGGGGTCCTGCCTCCAAAGCGAGGAGCGTCTCAGTCTGCAGATTAATCTGTCGGCGCGTGGTGACCAGCCTGCTGACCTGGACAAGCTCAAGCCCTATGTCATTGAGCACATTTTGGTCCTACTGGTGGCCCCTGCTGCTGAACAGGATGCATTCGGTGGGTGTCTGCGACCTTTCTGATTCATGCCCTGAAGGCAATTCACACCGCAAGCGTGCCACGCTGCACGACCTGACTCTGACTGTCGTTCATAAAACAGTATTTCAGTATGAAAAGAGAAACATGCACTGGTATTTTATTTATTTATTTATTTATTTCAGCCTACACATGAATTACATCATTGAATGTTTGTGTGGTGGAGCTCTATCAAAGCAAAATAATATTTACTTTTTAACAGATTTAACCATAACAGAGCTTCTATGTTTCCTGTGGAGTCGCTTCCATTTTTTAAACGTATTAGTTTAACTAGAGAAGGAATACAATTAAAAGACTTTGATTATTTTGCAGTTTCGAAAGAACTGTCTAATGAGAGGCATGGGAAATATGACAGCAGTCCTGATTTTGTTTTCTTTCTCTGGTTTTTGCACCAAATCAGGGGCGAAGGTTCAAATTATTTTGGCCACAGTTGTGTACACAGCATCAGTGTACAGTTCCCGTGATTAGTTTGAACCATTATTGTTTTTCAGAACTGCTTTCTGAAGTATTTTATTGTACTTACCTGTTTTCTGATGTCGCTTTGTTTGAGCTGTCATCCTTATTCTGTTGTATTACACATGAATCACATTTGTATACATTATTCTCATTCCTCTTTGCTTCTTCCAACAGGGGAATCAAAAATAAGAGTTTATATGTTAAATTCTGGAGGGAAGAAGCTCTATATAAAGGTGAGAGTACTGCCTTGTTGTACAACAGTCAGCGAGTAGAATTATTGCAGCTCTAAAACGTTGTTTTATGTCCCCAGGACATGCAGGTGCTATCAAAAGTAGAGGCTAGCTTGGACTTTAATCAGGTTCTTCTGACACCAGAAGCAAAAAACTTCACTGAAGTGGCTACACTGGCCTGCAGAGGTGACTACTTATTTAAGTTGCAATAGTTTGCTCTAAGCCCATACCGATTCTTCTGAGTGAAATTGTATTTGTATTTTCTATCAGGCTCATTGCCTGGCCTCGACCAGAAATGTATAAGTCATATCAGTTTGAAAATTATGGGAAACAGGACAGCCTACAGCTTCCCTGGACTACATGTTCCACACAGGTAACATGGAGGAATTTTGTAATCATCACAATAAACGTATATCTGATCTGAAACAACGTAGCCCCAGAAATAGTTCATTTAAGTGTTTTTAAGGTACTAATAAAAACAGACAAGTATATCATCTATATTTTCCTTCTGGCGTCATTTCTATACTAATGTTTTTATTTCTTTCTTCAGATGGCCTGTTGGGGATTTGTTCAGCCTGTTCCAGATGAAACAAAGAGCTGCTAACCAGGTGGACTTGTGGCTCACCAACCCCTTCCCTGTGCCTCTCATTGTGTTGAATGCAAGCGTCTCAGAGAAGCTGCAGGGGGTAATGAAGGTAGGCATGCACTACTGCAACATGTGATGATAGGACGCAGTTTTTATCACACGATGATCAAATTTGCGGCAGGTTATGGTGCATAGATTTTGACCTGTAACAAGTTATTCATTCATCATATGGATTCTAAACAAAGTGGAAGATTTAACAGATTATCTCTGCTGCCCCCTGTCTGTCAGGTGATGCACTTCAACACTCCACTGACAGTTCCTCAGGGCTGCTGGCACGTCCTGTCCCTCCAGCTGCTCAGCAGGGCCCTGCCTGTTAACCAGGTCTCCACCCTGAGTCTGAATACCAGCCTGGGCACAGCACTGCAAGTTCCACTGTACTTCTATCCTAATCCTTCCAAGGTAAAATAGCAGTTTCAGTGGTGAGTAGGTAGTGTGTTTGGGTCGGACATTTGTGTAGAAATTAAAAGTTGTATGTTTGCCATCAGGGAGAGGTGGTGTTTGAGGCGGAAAGAGAGTGTGGACGTCCTTGTCCTCTTAGACTATCTGAAACAGGTAAAACTTCTCTCTTTCTTTCTTTCTTTCTTTCTTTCTTCCTGTGATGGAAGATGTTATAATCCAAGTTATTTTCTGTTGTGTTTTATTAGGTCGCTCAGAGTGGCAACACTCTCTTCTTCCAGATTTTTCCCACTCGTCTTGGGCTGTGGACAGCAAACTAGCAGCTGAACTCTGCTCTCGATGGCAGAGCCACAAAGACAAGCTGCCTTGCAGGTTATTCTTGAATTTAACGCACACACAGAAACACACACTCCTGCGCTGTGTGCTTTTATATTCCATCAGCGGTCAGCATTAGCATAATTATTCATGTAAATATGTTCGTCTTGTCAGGTGGCCGAGACTCCCAGTGGAGGCATCGTCTCTTCTGGACTTTGGTGCTACTCCTGTCAATGAGAGCAAGGTGGGTTATGTTTGTTGAATGAAAATACAGCATTTATTTTTTATTAGTTGTACATTTTAAGATTTTTTTTTAAATTTAGGAAACATTTATTCTTAACAAGCATTTGTCTTATAAAGGAAATTTTTTTTTTTTTGTTCCAGGTTAAGACGTTCATGCTGAAGAACCCTTCGTCTTCAGTGGTTTCTGTAGAGATTCGGGCCCTCTCTCTGTACCCTGCTCCCCTGGAGGCTCTGGACCTTCTAACCAAATGGTACATTGTCAAGTTATTGTTGCAGTTTAGTCCACGGCTGTTTGGAGTTTTGATGCCGCAGCACCTCCTTCTACTCCACTTCTGAAGGTGTTTTCTTTGTTTGGATTGGCAGGTTTAATATCAGCCCTCTCTCTGTTAACATCAGCACAACAGAGTTCTCTCTGTTGGCTTCTTCCTCCAAGGTAAGCCTCGGAAAAACTCCTCAAAATAAAGCTGTGCCACTGTCTCATGTTCCTTTCTTTGACTAATCCTTTCCGTTTCTTCCCTCCTGTGTGCATCTGTACAGGTGGGTAAGAATATGGAAGAAAAAACCGGAGTCTTACGTCTGCTGCTGCAGCCCTGGGAGTCCAGAGAGGTTGCTGTGGTTTTTACTCCCTCTGAACACAAACCCACCACCACCATTCTTATCATCAGGTATTCATTGATAATAGTGTTAATGGATTTGATTGTGTTTTCTGGGTGCATATGTGCTGAGTTTTTTGTGTTCCATAGACATTTCACAAATCCGTTTTCCGCCATTTTTGTGGTACCCGGTTTGGTACAAAAGTGTAGTGGAACGTGTTTTGTAGCCAGTTTTTAAAAAGTCGGTAAGTTGTCTGTTTATAACACTGAAGACTAAATGCGGCATGATTTAAGTGTCTCTTGATTTCCTATTTTAAGTTTCGACGTCTGAGTTTGTGTGTTTTTAATCTTTATTTTCTGTCTTTTTTTTTTCAGGAACAACCTGACGGTGTTTGACATGGTGATGGTGCAGGGCCACGGGGCTAAAGAGCTGCTAACAGTCGGGGGGAAACTGCCCGGTCCTGGGGCCTCTTTACGCTTTAATGTTCCTCAGTCAACGCTAATGGAGTGTCGTGATGGTGAGAGTGAAGTTTATCAGCTGTCATATTGATGTAAATTTTAAGCTAACGTACGATCAAAATCAGGCTAATGGGCATTATTTCTGACACTTACAGGTCTGCGCAGCAATAAGCCCCTTTTTGCCATCAGAAAGAGCTTCAAGGTGGAGAATGCCGGCGAGCTTCCCCTGACGGTCATGTCAATGAATATAAATGGTTACAAGTGTCAGGGATTTGGCTTCGAGGTGCTGCAGTGTCATTCCTTCAGCCTCGATCACAACAGCTCCTCTGAGCTCACCATAGCGTAAGTGGAATTTCACACCCCTTTCCTTCATGACTTCCCCTCATTTAACTTTTTGGGTTTCATTTTAATCCATAATGTGGTTTACTTTGCTGGTTGCGCAATATATTAGTTGCCCAATATCCTACTTCTCTTGTTATGTATTTATTTTTTGCTATTTCTCCTCCTTTTTTATATTCTTGCACAATATGTCCTGAATATGTCTTCCTCTCCTTTTTTAAAAATCTCATCATTTTGGCTCTTTTTTTAATCATTTTGCCGTTTGTTCCTCTCTCTGTGCCTCTACCTGTCCGCGTCTTCAGGTTTACCCCAGACTTCACCTCATCCTGGGTCATTCGGGACCTCACCCTTGTGACATCACGTGGCACTTCTTTCCCTTTTACCCTCAACGTGACGCTTCCCCATCACATGTTGCCCCTCTGTGCCCAGGTGGTTCCTGGCCCCAGCTGGGAGGAAACTTTCTGGGTGGTCACCCTCATCTTCACATGGTCAGTAACAGTAATTTGTGAGGAGAAGCGGATGCATCGGGGAACGTTTATTGATTGGGGTTTAGTTTTTGATTAACTTGTAAATTTTTTCGGATCTCTGTTTTTGTTGCAGTTTCTCCTTGTTTGGTGTGTGCCTGATGGCCTTTTATCAAGCACAGTTTATCCTGCATGAGTTCTCTGCACCGAGCAGCAGGAGCAACCACAACTCTGTCTTGTCCCGGGAAAATGGTTCAGTCAGTAATATCACACCTAATGGAGTACAGTATGTAGATTTTTCTTCCTCATTTATTTATGTAGACCAATCGTAAACATAGCAGGAAAACGTTTTGGTGTTAAAACACTCTAAATAGTCAAATGTCTGTCTGTGCAGTAAAACAAAAGGCAGTTGTAAGACCTACGTGGACACCTGCCACACATCCGACAAAGGTAAAGGCCGCGGGTCTCCAGCCTTAGCCAACAGCCTCGCCCCTCGACCTCAGTCCTCAAAGAAGGGCTCCTCAACCACACCCTCCCAACAACAGAAGAAATGCAAGGTTTCACTCTATTACTCCAAATATAAACCCAGCTCATCCACAGCATCAGCTGGTGCTGTGACAGTGGACGAAGAGCTGGAAGACCTAAGACCAGACCCTCCCCTCACTCCCGACACCGACGTCTGCAACAACAACAACGAGCCAGCTTTCATCAATGAGATGGAGAAGATGACAGCCCCAGACTTTAAAGAAGTCGTAGAAGATACAATGCCAGCAGCGGTTATGTTTCCCATGGAAATACCTGCTGGTTTCCCAGATAATGTCACACTGGGTCCAGGACCCAGACCGGGCCTGTTAGTGTGCAGTCCCATAGAAAACACTGAGCACTATGCAGAGAAGATGGAGTCTGAGAAAAGGGACAGTTCTGAAGTCGAGGTAAAGGAGGAGTTTTTGTTAGACTGCTGCATTTCTGTTTAAATACAATAACAAATTCATTTCTCCTTTGACTTTTATCATCAAAGAGATTTCTATAGAAAAAAAACCCCAACTGTCATCCCTGTTTGTTTACCCCGTCTAGCTGAGAGACGACTGCAAAGGACAGAAAAAGAAAGCGCAGAGCACAGAGTCTGGCACTGCAGCAGGGAATAATAAGGGAAAGAGGAGCCGCAGGAAGACTGAAAATGTCTCCAGGTAATACACACGTACTTAACCAAAGCAACACTTAATGTTTTTAAAGCTCGTGATGAAAGATACCTTAAGACATATCTTTGACGTTTAATGTAAAAACAAGCAGACACTCAGTTAGCCCAGTAATATAAATATATATAATGTGTTGTTTTGGGGGGGTTTTGTTCTTGATTTGTCTCCCAATTACTGTTGTAGCGCTCCCGAGCACAACATGCAAGTAACACCAGAGAGGGAGAAGGAACCTGTTTGGAAAACTGCGGACTTTGTCAGTGGACCCCGCAGCAGGAACCGCTCCACCAACAGCTTCAAGACAGAAGCACTGAAGCCTGTGCAGACTGCTGAGAGCCCACTCAAACAGAACGGTGGGCACAAATAACTGACTCGGCCATTACCGAGCTTCCCTTAAATGAAGCTACTTTGGTGAGGAAAGTCGATTCTCATTTCGCTGGGCTTTGTTCCTGCCAGGTGTGTGTCCTGCTCGCACTCGGAAGAAGTGTACTCCAGAGTGGCGCGTGGGCAGCGTCTGCGAATCAGGCTCAGACTCGGGCAGCTCATCGGGCAGCGTGAGGGCCAGCAGAGGGAGCTGGGGCAGCTGTAGCAGCACCAGCAGCATGGAGGGAGACAAGGACGCCAGTGCCCGGACACACCGCTCCACTACCTCATCTAGAAAAAGTATGGGGCGCTTACCTTCTCTTGAAAAGAAACCCAACTCAAATTGTTTTGTTGCAGTGCTGCTTTTTTTGGGTTTATAGCGGTGCTGTCTCTGCAGCCAGCCTCACACTTTCTCAGCCGTTGAGTGAATGCGTGTAATGTAGGAAACTAGTCAGTAAAAGTCTTCTTATAATAGATGAGAACTGTAGTTTGCCACTTTTTAACATTAGTCAGTTTGCTTGTTTTTCCAGGGGACTCCATGCAGTACAGTGTGTACCCAAAAGAGGTTGACAGCTACCAGCCCATTAATGCCAACTATAAGACTAAAAGGTACAACAAGAACTGGTTCTGATTAGTATCAATATAACTTTTCTTTTTTTTATCTTTTTGTTTGCCAACTTAAACAAATACTAATTTATCAGTCTGTAATTTGTATTCCAGAGACTTTGTCAGAGGTGGTCATTCATGTGTTTTGTACTGTGCTTTCATAGGATTTGTACAGTTTGTAATGCCAAGAGCTGGATTTAGGTTATCTTGTGGTTTATTCAGACGCAGTGTAAGTCGTAACGTTTGCCTTTCCTCTGTTCAGCATGAACAGCCTGTACCATAAAGACCAATGCCAAAGCCAAGAGTCCACCAGGCCCAGCTTGACCTCAAGCTTTGCTGCTGCTGTTGCTGCAGGAACGGACCAGAACACGGGTAAAGGCTTAATCGTTTATAGCAAAAGCACACTTTTTGAAAAGACAAAATGTGCAGTAAACTCGTCTTCCACAACGGTTGTGCGTCTCGTCCGTTTTCGTAATCGTTATCGTGTCCTCTCCTCACAGATGTGACAGGTCAGTATCTGCCTGAAGATACGTGGTCAGCTCCACCCATCCCCCTCACCAGTGAGTTCAGATACAACACCACCGAAGCAATGCGCTACATACCACCAACCACCGCGTCATTCCGCGGGTGAGTATTTGAAGATGTTATGGAAACACTTGGTTAGTGGTGCTTCACTCAGTTCCAGTAAATGAACTGTCTGCGTGGGTCTTTATGACGGCACCAAAGAGAGGGCTGGAGTTAGTGGAGTCTAAAACAAATCTAGTGTCCGTAACAGACTCTTAGATTCATAAAGTGATTAAAAACGATAATAGAAGATAGATAGATAGAAATGGAAATAACTTTACAAATGTGAGCATAAAGCGGCTTTTCACCTGTGGATAATCTGCATATTCATCTCAAAAGTTTGGTGTTACTCACCCTTCTCTGTAAACAGCATCCCTAACTGAGTAAGCACATGCTTGAATATCTTTCCTCTGCTGCTGCACTGCATATTTGCTTTTCTGTAGATTAGTGTTTCAGCTTCTTTGACTCTGTTAAAAACTTCCTCCTCTCCTGCAGGTTACGTTGGAATAGTGCCAGCAGCCACTGTAACAGTTCCTATAACTACTATCCGGAAAATGGCTACATAGGTACGAGCTCATGATAAGCACTTTGAACCGGTTACGTGTTCCCATTGCTTTGTAGAAGATCAGCTATATAATACTGTAACCAACAAATAATGCAAAGGCTAAACGTCCCTGCTGGTTCAAGTCTGAGTTGTTGTTTGTTATCACTTTGCAGGTAATGGAACTTTTACAAGTGGTTTTCACAGTCAGGAGGGCCAGAACATGCACAGCAATCAGACCATCTGGAGTGACGAGCAGCCTCAGGAATCGCCCTCGACCTGGGACACAGCAGCCTGTGTGGGCAGCAAGGTGACGCCTCATAATACTCGAGTCAGATGGTTAACGCGGGGGTTCTTAAAGTTTTCATGACTCGGTGCCAATTTAGGGAGAAAGCATCTGGTTGAGGGCGGCAAAGGAAAGCTGCACCAATTACACCACAAAGTTTTGTTTTTAATTTAAGAGCAGCACTGTAGGGCTTTTCTTGTCCATCATGCCTGTGGTAGGCTGAGAGGCAGTAATCAGTTCATTTGCAGATATTCTGTTTCAAAGTGCAAATGTTACTATGAATTCGTGGTTTTACATCTTTTGCTTCAAAGAACGGTGGTTTTTATCTGTAATTGTATTTTTGTACCACTTCCAGTGGCTGTTTCAATTATTCACACTAATTGTACTTGGAGATATTATTTTATGCCCATTATGTTATATATGACAGCAGTTTGTCTTAATGATTCCTTTTGTGATATATTTTCTATACACTGGGGAAAAAATTATGTTTTTATAGCACACAGGTTCTCTAAATACATTTCTTTAGTTTCAATAACCAGAGTCAAAACACTACTTCATGATTCATCGTGGTGGTGCAAACAAATGACAGTAAAATTACCTGAAATCAATGACTTCAGCTGCAGTCAGTCGAGGGGAACAGATTGGAAGTTTTTT